TAAATAATTATTTAAAATGATTGTAAAATATTGTTTATAAAAATAATATTAGTTAAAATAATAATAAAGTGTTTTTTTATTAAAATATAATTAAATTAAATAATTATAGTAAAAGTATAATGATAACAAATTTTGTGTAAACTTCTCATATTTTGATGTCAAATTATGAGTTCAGAATGATATCAATGCGTGGTAGCATTTTGATATCATATTTATATCATAACCTTCTCATATTATGGTATCATTTTCAGATATGAGTTTAAAAAGGTATCAATGAGTGATTTCATTTTGATATCATAAACCTTTCATATTATGATATCAGGTCCTGAGCTCAGAATGATATCAATAAATGATTTCATTTTGATATCATATTGATATCATAAACGTCTCATATCATGATATCATATATATCATAGTTTGATATCAATATGATATCAAATTCCTGATTAGGTTATCAAATGCCTTAGCAAAAATCGGTCTAGATGACATCACCACAGATGTGATCTACACAAGATATACTTACAAATGTTATGTAGTTTTAGTTCCAGGGGTGTGGAGCCGTAAAAAAAAAGTTACAACTCCGACTCCAGTTATTGAAATTTTTTGAGTACATTTCCGACTCCAACTCCGACTCTAACTCCAAAACAAATTTTTTGAAAAATTCTCTGAATTCTTTAATAAATATTGCGCGATAAATCGAAGTTTTTATTTTGACAAATTTATGCAACGTTCCTTGAGGTTTAGTATGAACATTAGGTTAATCGCGAAATTTTTTAGCAACTCCAACTCCGACTTCGACTCCACTAAAATTGTCGCAGCTCCGCAACTCCGACTCCACAGCCCTGCTTAGTACATAACTTCCGAGAGTATATCTTGAGCTTCAACAAGGTTTAGATATGCTTTTTTTTAAAATATAATTGTATTGATGCTTCGAATTTACACACAAGATGCCATAACATGTTTGTGAGTTATTGTTTTATAACTTTGCGTGGTACTGAAGTGATGGAGACTGATTGGTAATTAAACGCCTTAAGTTTGCTGCTTATTATAAGAAGATGGGAGTGATGTTCAAATTTGAAAATTTTTCTTTTTAAAATCTTTTTTTAACAACCAGGTTTAATTATTTAATTTTTAAAGAATATACATCAACATATATTTTCTAGAAAGAAAAAAACATTAAAACATATTTCAAATGTTTTGCTGTTGCAATGGAAAAAAATTGGGGACAAAACAAAAAAAATTGTCGGGTATTTCCTGCCTTAACATTTTTGAAAGTTCAAATTAAAATACAATCAAATCGTTCTATTACTAATTATAATTAAATTAGATTATAACAACGCACTTAGAAACAAAATATTTTCTTAGATGATACATGATACAAAATGTTCATATTTTAAGTGATTTTTTTTTGTCGATGAATCACAATTTATGATACTTAGCAAAATAATTTTTTTTATCAATCAATATCAATTTCTTTTATCAATCAATTTAACCAATGAACGCCTAAATTTTCTTTTCTAATTGGTGAGGATACCAAAAAAGTCAATGACTTTCTTTTTTTTGATGGGTCTTGCTGCGTTTTGTTATCTTTCTATTTGTAAAATACCAATCCTCCAACAGAAATCTGATGGTCAAAGTCACCTCTTTAAAGCATTTTATCACTTTTAAATCTTTTTGGCAAGTATTATAAGTCTGAACGTATTGTTCAACAACAAAAGACTATATGTTGAAATAGGTATTCCAATAATGGAACAGTGGTAAAATAGTTGTCAAAATAGACCTGACCTTTTCTTTTAAAAGGCTACGCAAGGAAAACATTATAAGACATATAACACATTATAATATTGTTTTGAGGCCGTGGCGCAGTGGTTAGAGTGCTTGCTTTAGAAGCAAGAGATCCATGTTCTAAACGAGCTCTGGACATATTTTTGCGTCACAGTAAAGAAGAAGGCATGAACTTCGTAGTTACTGCACTTCCGCGGTGCTCTGTGGCAAAGCCGATAGGTCTTCTTGGAGCATCTAAAGTAACAAATCAAAAAAAAAAAAAAAAAATTCTTATCCAATAATATAATATGTTATATATTCATATAACACATTAAAATACTAATTCCTAAGAAAGAAAAAAATTCTTGCAATGTAGCATGTAGAACAGCCTTTTTTTATTTTTTTATTTTTTTTTTAATTTTAGGTGCTGAAGAAGTTCTTATGGTCTTATCATAGAGCACCGCGGAAGAGCATTTGAAAGGAATTTTACGCCTCCTTCCATACCGATGTTATAAAACTTGCCTAGAGGTGGCGTTGAACCACGGATCTCTAGTTTATGGGGGAAGCGCGCTAACCACTGCGCTACGGCCGCTTGTTGTTGTTAACCACTGCGCTACGGCCTATTACTGCTAACCAATGCACTACGGCTCCTTATTTATCATGCTTTGTGTTATATATAGATTGGTTTGATAAAGTATGTTCTGTTGTATTTCATTGTCAAAATGAAAAATTCAATAGGATTTTGACAATCAGAAAAATGGACTTTGTGACCGGGCCTTCGTGAGATGAAAATGAAGTTTCAATTTAGTTTTTAGTCCATTTAAAATCTTGTTCAACATTATAATCGTCTTGTTCAATGCTGATGTCTTTCATGCTACTTTCTGAATCATTGGAAATTTCAGATTCATTTTCGACAGGTTCCAGTTATTTTAGAGCATCTGGTATAAATTCATCATCAGAATCACTTGACTTTATGCCCTCAATAAAATCACTAGAAATTTCCTTTATAATGTAGTGAGCAGCTTCTTGTGATTTAACTAACTTTATTTGATAATTTTTATTGAACTAATAAAAAAATATGAAAGAAATACAATATAATCATAAAAAAACTAAAGAATAAAAGTTAATATTTCTTTATCAATTTTGAGTCAATAACATTTACTATAATAAACATCAGCCAAATAAATTCCCGATGCACAAACATATTTAAGCCTAATGATATACAACTTTCAAGTCAAGAAAAAAATTTATTAGAACTGCAAGCTTTAGTAGACATATTGTGAACAAAAATATGTGCTTTTGAGCAATGACTTTATTGATATATTTTTTTTTTAAGATATTAGAAGGTATATCTTAGATTTTTTTTTAATAAACATCAATAATTTACATTCTCACTGAAAAATATAGGCACTAACTTCTAGCGGGACTAATAAGTCATATCGGTAACCATAGGAATATACCAATATGTATTAAAAATATTGCCAATATATACTAACAAATGTAAGTAAAAAAGCATATGTAAGTTTATATAATTACTACCTTGTATAGTTGATTAAAATTTAAAATGTATAATTTTAAATAATTCATAACTTGTATATTTTAAAAATGCTTAATTACTGTTGTGTATAAATATATTAGTTTGTATAATTACAGTTTCTATATTATTAGTATTATTAGCTTCTATAAAACAAATAACATATTTTTGCATTTAAAACAACAATAATTAGTTTGTTAAAAATCTTTTTAATAATTTTTTTTTGAAATTTCTTTTTGATTTTCTCAAACAATTAGCAAAACGTTTGGTCCTCAGAGTATGAAGAGTTCACAATTGCTTCTATAAATCCAAAGATTCTTTCAGCACAACCAATTGTGATACTGAGGTGTTTAATATAAAGCACATATTTCTTGAACAAGGGTATCGAATCTAAATTTTTTTTATTCTGGCATGCTTTACTCCAAATCTTCATTTCCTTTAAAATTTCCAAAATGATAAAAAGAAACCAGTAGTCTCAGGTAACAAGTTTACAAAGTTTATAATTTTTATCTTATAGAGCAGGTAATGGTTTCTCACTATTATTTTTACTAAGGTCAAGAACTTTGCGTGATATTTAAAATTTCTCATATGAATTGAGGCTCATAAACAAGAGACCCTACATCCAGGAAAATGCACCGTTTGGTGCGGTTTACACGCGGGTGGCATCATTGGACCTTTTTCTTCAAAAATGTGGTCGGAGTTCGTGCTATGGGTAATGGAGTTCTATACCGCACCATGATCAATAATTTTTTTTTTGAGAGTATAAGTGACAAAAATACAAAAATGATATGGTTTTAACAGGATAGGGCTACTTGCCATACAGCGTCCGCAACCATTGACTTATTGAAATCATAATTTTGGAGATAATTTAACTTAAAAAAAGGGACCTGTCAATTAGATGCTTGTCAACCTGTGTCACTTAAAACAGCTACTAAGAAAATATTGTGCTTGTTTTTAAATTCAGGACTAATAATAGACACAACATACCCACATTTTATCTACATAATCTTTGGAAAAGTTGCATTTTATTATATAGGTTCTAGGCTAGCTAATACTATATAGTAATGATTTATTTTATAATGTAAATAAAGACCTTAAACTTCCATTTGCCAAATTTAGGATTTTTATTTAGGACCTTCAACGACTGACATCAATAGTAACAAGTTTATATAAGTTTCGCTGGATTATGGATACAAACATCATTAACTTGTAGAATATTATAACAACTTTTTAACCGTTATAGTTTATATAACGGTTAAAAAAATATTGTAATATTCTACAAGCTGATGATGCTGGAATCCATACCCCAGAATAAATTTCTTTAATATCAAAATGGTTAGTATTAAAAGAAACTGCATTTCTTAATATTTTACAATATATATATATATATATATATATATATATATATATATATATATATATATATATATATATATATATATATATATATATATATATATATATATATCCACATTTAAATATTAGATTTGAAAGAAAACTGAAATTTGTTTCTTTTAGATTTCTTTCTTTGAGTTTCCTTTTCTTATTTTTTTAAATTTCCAGGGCTGTAAGGTAATTCATAATTACCTTTCTGAGATTACTGAGTCACATATTACAGTTAAAACTTTTACTTTTTTTGTAGTATGCATAATATTTAGAGATAGTATAAGTAATAATTAAGATAATGCATTAAATAAAAAACCTGTGATGTTTAACTGTTTATAGCCTGGGTGAGCTGTCTTCTGCATTAGTACTGAGAATTCAAATTCAATACCATTAACATGAGGATACTATTAGAATATAAATAAAATAGATCAGAATAATATTAGAAGAATAATGTTGCAAACATCAAGAATAAAAGACTGGTAAGATTTTTAATAACATCAAAAAACTCTTTTAAATGTTATTGTAGTTGCAACATAATATATAATACGAAAATATTAAATTAACACGTGCAACGCCTATGAATATAAAGACTTCTGAAACTGATCAAATAAAGGAAAACTTTAATTAAAAATTTTAAATTTGAGAAATTTTTGTAGAACAGTCTCTGAAAAATTCCTTTAAAAAAAACTTACAGCATTTGCATCATCAAGCGGAGTATACTGAAAAAATGCAGATCCACTTAATCTTCCTTGTTTACAAAGAAAGTATCGAAAACTTGTTCCAGGTGCAAAGATTTGGTAGAGAAAAACACTACTTAAAACAGCCAATGTAATGCAAACAATAAAATAAAAGCAGGTATCTATAAATCAAAACAAAATCATGTAAACATTCATATTCAAAATTTGATAGCAAATTTTCCAGCATTTTGGTTAAAAATAATTTTCACTTATTTTAAAAATCAACAAATTTTTTTAACAAATGAAATTCAGCGCTGGAAATATTGGCAGATCAATATCCAACAACCCTGGGAACTAGGAAAAATGATAGGTTATAAACTGACAACCTCAAACTGTTATAGGTTGGCATTAGGTCGGTGAAAAAAATTTGACATAAAAGAGTTACCATAAAATATAGAAACGAGATCGGCAATTAATTGGCGACCTCATACACATTGATGTCTGCAGTTTAGTCGGCATTGCCATATGCCGACCCTAGTTTCAAGGGTTCGATCAATGATCGAGTCCTTGGAAAATGTTTACTTTCGTAAAAAATAATGCTTTGATCAACTAATATCAATTCTGGCTTAACAAATTTGATCTACATTATTAATAAGGCAAACTTATTAATAAAAAATCTTACATTTAAAAGCAGAAGGTTAAAAATAACTAGTTAGCAACTAAGTGTTTTTTAGTATTCGAATTAATATGTTTTGAGACCATAATAATATCTACCTAACAGTAAAAAATTTGTGAAAATTGTATTAAATAAGCAAATGATAAAAAATATCAAACGATAAAAAACAAAGAATTTTTTTAATTGGTGGAAAACTGATTGAAATTAAAAGAGATTTTTTTTTAACCTAAGTCTCAAAAATTTCAAGTACTAGTTTACGAATAATTTATTTTTTTTTATGAGATGAGTTTTAAATAATAATTAGAAGTGTGAACATTTTTTTGAATTCCAAGCAACAAATAACATGAGCGTTTGATTGGTCAGAAAAAACTATATAAGAAAATAATGAAAAATTAAATAATTTATAAAGTTAATTTTGCTTAAATTGTTTCAAACCTCTTAAAAAATGGAGATTACTAAACACGCAAAAAATGGAATACTTTTCATTTCAGCCAATCAAAGTTGAATGGCAACGTTATAAGAAATATTTTCAGCATTGATTTATAGGTACGTGATATTGTTATATGTATAATATTGTATTAGCTACCTTTTGTTAAATATTATTAATAATACTTTTTTTAATACCATTTCTATCATTTCTATATTATATCTTCATCTGATACTATCACTATTATGTAATTTTATCCAAACAACTTAATTTAGTTAAAAAGCAGCATATCTGAGTTAATGTTATAGCCTACATCTTTTTGTTCGCTTTTGTTTTATAGAAATGTCATCAATTTGAGATTTTATAGTACGAAGTTGTACATCCAGTAAACACTGCCTTGCTGACTCTAAGACTGACACCCCAGCTTCAACCATACCTACCTAAATAAAAAATAAAAAATAGTATTTAAAAAATCCAAACATAACATATATAGTACATAATATAGTATACATAACTGTTTAATAAATGAGCCGTTTATTTTGAAAAAGAGATGCAGCAGCTTTGTTTTACAAGAAAACGTAAACTAAAGTGTATGCAAATATCTAAGGTACGTAAATTTCAAATTATGTTATTTTAAAATTTAAACTTTAATACTTAAATAAAACTTGCATTGCGTCAACCTCTCCTTAATTTTTGATCATCAGCATTAATTTTCGTTAGAAAAAAAATTTTTATATGTGCCAGTATGACCGATTGGCCATGTTGGCACGTTGACAGCATGTTGATTAGCGCGCTGAGCTTTTAAACCACCGGAAACCTATTTTTTTAAGTTTTTTTAGAATTTTAAAATACTAATACTTTCACAGTTTTATAAAGGTTATATACAAACATTTCTAACGATATTATACATTTTAATAAAAATAAGATTTTTAAAAATGCAAAAAATTCTAAAAACATTGAAAAACAGAGGGAAGGGGGGTTATATGTTGCGTATGTGTCATGAAGCAGATACTTATGTTATTTTAGATTTATATTTCCCAAACGCGGCGGGACATATGTAATGAAGCTTTTAATTTTACTATCTTAAAATAAATTTAAATTATCAACATTTTTAAATTTTGTAGCACAATATTGTTATTTACAAAAGCTATAACCATACAAATTTTTCGACTCATTTCGCATGGGTATGAACATACTTTAGTTTAACGTTTGCACAATGTGTGAAAGTGCCCTATGTGAAACATCAAAAAATTCTGCGGGCGCTTATGACTGTAAAGTTGTTTCGTTTTGCATTTTAAATAACAAAAACTAAAAAGTAAAGTAAGCCGATAATTTGAACTTGCGACGCGGCGACCTTAACTTTTTAAAAACCGTAAAGATTTTAAATAGTATGTTTTATATAAGATCATAATGAACATTCTAATTTTATACTTAAATTAAACCATTTTATTAAATTAAATTCTTTTAAAAATAATAAATAGTTAAATTTATTTAATATTTTTACAATAAAGAAATATAGAGTTTTACAGCTATTTTACCATGCCCCCGTTGAACATTCTAAACTGAGTGCGCAACAATGACAGAGTTTAGATAATCATTGGCTGATCCATAATCTAAACTTTTAAATAAGGAATGGTCCATAAATTACGCAACGCTAAATTTCACTAATGAATAAAAAAAAAAGATCAAAATTTTCCTTCGCAAATATATGTTAAACAAAAAATCAAAATAACTCATCAAGTTCAATGAAAATCACCACCTTAAAAAACTGAAGATCTCCTTCTTCTTTTTTAAAAATAAATTTAGCGTTGCGCAATTTATAGACTATCACTTAGTATTTCATAAATTATAGTTTTTAATTGCCCAAGATGTTCTTAGTTCTGCTATTTGTATAGCGTTGCGTTCAAACCTCTGTATGTGTAAACGTGTTAGCATATGTTGAGTTTGCAGGCAGTATATGGAACAATCGTGTATAATATGTCTATAAAATTAAAAAAACTTTTGAACTTTATTTAAACAATTATAAAATTTTTTTGCTGTAAATATTGCTATAATTATTATAAATATATATTACAATCAAAATTTTGCTATAAACATTGCTACAAACACAACAAGATTAAAAAGTATTCAAAATTTATTACAAGAGATCTTTAATCCCTCAAAACGACACTGATAACAGCGCATTAAAAAACTGATAAACAATGATTTCAATAATTTGTTGTTGTTGTTGTTGTTGTTGTTGTTGTTGTTGTTGTATATAAAATGTAGATTTGGTAAAGATTTTATGGTTCCAAAAAGCTAGGATTTATATATATACATATATATATATATATATATATATATATATATATATATATATATATATATATATATATATATATATATACACACACTACTAGTGCTTAATTTACGGGGGTTTTTTTCCCCGTTAATCGCAATTTTTATTTCTCAAATTTTACTATATTTTTCATATATGTTTTTTTTTTAAATTTTTATTTTATGTCAATTTTTACATATTCATTTTTAAATTTATTATTTTCGTAAAAAAAATTATTTTTTATAAATATTTTTATTATTTTTATTTGATTATTATCAATTATATTTTATATTTTTATATATATATTTACAAAAACGATTATTTACATTAAAATAACTAACTCTAACCCTAACCCTAACCCAATGCCTGACCTTGCTGCCTGGCCAAACCAAACCCTCAGTCAATGTAGCAGCACTCCCTTGCGAGTCAGGCTATTTGTCAGTCTATGTATGTACTTTTCGCTTTGCATAAAAACTATTTACGGTGACATTTTTTTACAAAAAAAACGCCACTTATGAGGACAAAAAATTAACAAGAACACTAAAATGTCCCCGATACTGCTAATGTCCTCGTAAATATCCATTTTAATGTAAAATCTGTTCTCGAACATGCTACTATATGGATATATACATATATATATATATATATATATATATATATATATATATATATATATATATATATATATATATATATATATATATATATATATATATATATATATATATATATTAGGGTGTCCCAAAATAAAATTTTTTTGCACGCATGATTTTCCCATTCCTTTATGTCTACTGAGTTTATATATATGACTAAAAAGTTTTTCTGAGGTCAATTTCAGCTATATGTAAAATCTCAATTTCTTAATTTTTGATAAAATTTGAGCTTTTTTTTACCTTTTTTTAGATTCCAACAATTTTACTTTTTTAATGTTCCTTACCCTAGAGAATTTAGAAAACCAATGTTTTTAGACTATATAAGAATAAGTCTATCTAACCTATTTGGTACAGAAGGTTCATTCGAGCATGATTTACAGAGGGGATCGATAATGATGACTTGTTTAGGAACTTTTGTGTTTTATGTATACTGTTTTGTTTTAACAGGATTTTGTCTATTCTTTTGATTTTAACCGCTTATAGTAAAAATTAGAAGTTAAGTATGAACTTGTTTTTTCAAATATAATTATGTAATAGTTATGAATACCTTCAATATACATTTATTTACTTGAAAATTGTATAGTTAAATGTAATTTTTTTAGGGGGACACTAGAATAAATTTTTAAAAATTTGTTTTAGCATTAACTAATAATAAAAGTATTAAATAAAATGGGTTGTAATCAAAAAAACAAAAAGATAAAGGCTGAGAGAGAAAGTACAGCATGTCAACGAATCCAAGAAGGCTGCAGTTTCTTCTAAAGTACACAATCAATGAGCTTCCAATAAACCAGCTGGCAACCATCGGAAATATTCTGAGATACATTCAGTTTCTAAAATCTCCTATAGGAAGATACAACAAATAATTATTATTTTATATATAAATAAACTATAAAACAATGATAAAATTTAAAAATGATCTATTTTATGCAATACATATTTAATCTAATTTATCTCCCCCCTAACATTTGAAATGAGACACAATGAGGCAAAAATTTTATGTGAGAACAAAAAAACCATAATGATAAATACTTGACTATTTTTATTTTAGATCAATAAGATTTCAATCTACAAAGTCGATAGTAGCCTGCCCTCAAAAGCACGAGAACAGGGATTTGATCTGCAAAGATAGTTTCTGCAAGAATTCTGAACAAAGATGTGTTGCCTCCGCTGTAATAGCGGATTTTATCATCAGTGGATCCAGTGTCAGAGATAAAATACTGAAGCACCATAGTAAGTACATAAATCTGCATCATCTCATATCATTGAATTGGAACTCTAGCGAATGCAACTTCTCTAAAATACAGAATGAGTTTTTAGAGGAGAGTAATACATTCTTTGATATTTCATTGGCAAATTTTGAACAAAAAGTAAATCAGGATCGTTTTCGTTCGGAGAATGCTAAAAAGGAGGATATTAGGTTTTATCTAGATCAAAAAAGAGAGCGAAACATGTATATTACAGAAGAGTTGGATAAAGTATTCCAAAATTCAGTTAAAAATAAAAATATTCGGCTCAAGAGGACGGAGGAAGCAAAAGATAAAAGTAGTATCACAATTAATGCAGTAAAATCCAACAAACTTGAAGCTTCTTTTTATTCATCTGGAAATGATTCTGAATCGGAACTTAGTTAGATTCTTCAGATGATGAAAAATTACCTATAGATTCAGTCATTCTACTAAATCTAAGATAATGATAAGTATAAGTGCTGAAGATCTGGTAGACTGTACTGCTGCAGATTCTGCCCGATTCAGAGTAGGTATACGCCCACAAACTTCATTAGTAGCTGCTATTTGCAATAAAGCTGGTGTAAATCTAGAAGATATTAATCTATCAAGAAGTACCGTTTATAGAAAAAGTAAAATTTCAAAGAGTATAGGCATTTTATACAAAATAAGAAACGTTCTTGATAAAAATACCTTAATTCAATTATATTATTCGTTAATTCATTGCCATATCAACTATGCAAACATTGCTTGGGGTAGCACTTATAAAAGTAAACTTAAACCTCTCTATCGGCAACAGAAGCATGTAGCACGCCTTATAAATTTCAAGGACCGTTTTGCTCACGCCAAGCCTCTTTTATATGATATGAAAGCACTCAATATATATGAGTTAAATGTTTTTAATATTCTTTGTTTTATGTATAAATGCAAGACCAATCTATCACCCGTTTCTTTTCGTAACTTGTATTTACAAAGAGATAGAAATAAATATATTCTAAGGAACGATAACTTAATTCGACAACCATTTTCTCAAACTAATTTTGGAAAATTTTTTATTTCATTTCGCGGACCATTTTTATGGAATAGTATAGTTCTAAATACTTCTAAAGATTTTTCTCAAGAATGTAATTTTGATTCTTTTAAACAAAATCTTAAAAAACTCATTCTTTCAACTGAAAATATACTAATCTACTTTTAAATTTTTGAAAATCACTTGTCTATATTAGTATATGAATATATTTAATGTA